GTGTTCAATACTTATTTTACCCGCTGTAGTTGTGTGATGAAAATCCCATCATGTTGTTCTCAGCTTTGGGTTGCCTGTCCCTTCTTGTCACAATTCTTGGGGCAAATATTTTGCCCCCCTCACCATATGAAATTATTAGGTCGCCAGTTCAAAGAGCACAGAGAAAAATAACCATGAGTCTAATGCCAACTTAGAATCATTCAGTATTTTAGGATTCTGGTAGGATATCAAAATACCATGCAAAAACACATCCATCAATAGAAAAACATGGAAATTCCAACTGGGAATTAAACCTGCCACTTGGATGAGAGCAAACAAGGATAGCCAACTGTTCCACTGGTTACACACAACAAAGAACCCAACCTTATTATAAATAACTTGCAGTGTTGAAACTCTGAATTGTCTCTCAGGTTATCTATGTAAATTTACTTCAAGACTTTGTAGAAACAAGTGTAGGCRTGTTGCATTATGGTCATGCTGGTATGCAATAAACAAGCATCGTCAACAACCTTAATTGTTCAWAATATGCAAATCTTCAGAAGGTTTTGTTGTTGGGCTGCGTGTTCAGCCTGCACACATTCACACGTTCACTGACATTGTTATCTTGCATGGCTTTGAGTTATTATCTTAATAATAGAGGGAGTGGTGCCACGTTTGTTTGTCTTTTATGTGTGAYTGAACATAAAACATGTTCCAGATAAACAGATAAAAAGGATTRGATTCATGAAATAAAAATACTTTTCGTGACTAGTTTGTGGAGCTCAAGCACCTTCATAGTCTGTCTCACCAGTTGTTATTATTAGACTCAAAACCCAATTGTCTTCTTTTGTGTCTGTTCCAGGAAATCATGCTGTTTTTCATCAGCAAGCAAGCATTGTCAGAATCAAAAGTACTGATGGGGAAACTGAAAGTATAACTGAGAACATCACTAAACCAGATTCAAACTCATGTGCTGTCTTATTTTTCCACTACTTTCAATGTGATTTTTATTTGGAGTGCCTGATATTGTTATTTTTTTACCCAAATTTATGATTGACCAATCTGTTCCACCTCAAGAGTTTTGACTCATTCATTTGTTCTCTTTGTTCATACCCGTGCATTTGAATGTGGAAGTTTGCTTCCTTACTGTAAATACRCTCTCTGCTCTGGTTTATTTCCTTCTGCCCACATCAATTCTCTATTTTTGAACTTTTTAACGATCTGTCTTTTTGCCAGTGGCATCAAGCAATATTTCCTCTTATTTTAAACAGATCATTGAACAACCTTTGTTCAAAAAGAAAATAAGTTTCCATCCGACAGGACCACACTAAATAATAAAATGATACCGCTCCATTTTATTTTTGATGAAAGTGGCAATATGTCCATGCAGAACTGAAAAGATTGTTTACAAAACACCACAAAAAATCTTGCAGTGATTGGTTTTGATGCSTGAATTGAAATACTTTTGTAATGTTGTTGATATTTTTTAGTTATCACTTAACGATTGACCACTGAGAGATTTATTTGAAGCGTGAATAAAATTCCCATGATTCAGGCACTCCTTACATCTGAATCTATTTCTGAGAAGAGCACTAATGCTAATTATGTTTCAGGTTATTTTTTAAAGCAGTAATCAGACACACCAAATACAGATGCTCAAAAACATCAAGCTGGTTTTCCTGACACTTGTAGACATTCTGACTCCAACCGAGGTTTCTCTGGGCCACGGCCACTTTAACGCAAATGTACTGTGAGGTGTTGCAAAATTATTGTGCAGTAACACAAAAATATTGCATGAGAACGCAAAAGTATTGTGAGGGAGCGCAAAAGTATTGTGTAGTGATGCAAAAGTATTGTGTGAGAAAACAAAAGCATTGCGAGGTATTGCAAAATTATTGTGCAGTAACACAAACGTATTGTGTGAGAAAGCAAACATATTGTGCAGTAACACAAAAGTATTGTGTGAGAACGCAAATGTATTGTGTAGTAACACAAATGTATTGTATGAGAATGCAAAAGTATTTCAAGGTAACGCAAAATTATTGTGCAGTAACACAAAAGTATTGTGTGAGAAAGCAAAGGTATAGCCAAATAACACAAAAGTATTTTGCAGAAAGACAAARGTTCTGTGTAAGAAAGCAAAATAAATCAATCCTCCAATTTTATCAAGTTAACAATGTGGATAAAGAAAACCTTTACATTTCAGTCAGCTCAGACTGTGCGCTAAACATTTAACAAAAAAAGGCCTTAAAGTGTAATTTTGAGTTTTAGTGGCAAGAAAATTGATTCTGTTAAGATCGTGTATAACATTTTATGTTCTTTGCAAAACATTTAGGTTTTTTAATCTTTTTGCCGAATAAAAGAAAAACATTTTGAAATTTGCAACGTCGCCACATTTACTGTACAAAAACTGCACCCAGCCTAAGACTGTCACTAAAATGTGCACAAGGCCAAACGTCTTCATTCCTTTAGCTTTCTCTTATAATTCTGGTACATGACTCATATTTAATGAAGTGATAAGATGCTGAGGAAAAAAAACCTTAAGATACTAAAACATTTCTTTTTCCCTGAAAGGTTCTGTGAACCAAAATAGAACTCCACGTCAATCTGTTAAGTTTARATTAGAGTTTATTGAACTGATTATTCATCACGTACAGACATTTCAGATACAAGTTATAACACAATGAAGGACTTGATAACATAGTCAATGTAAAACAGAGTTGAGGTTATCACTTGTGTGACAGCAACGTGCAGCAAAACRAACTGTTTAAACACAGTATACAAAAATATTAAATGTACTGTAAAATACATTACAATGAGAAACAAATGACAAGAAAAAAATTACAAATGTCATTCATATCACGTCCGTAGTGAGTTGTGAAAATCAAAGAAATAGAGAATTTATAGCTGTCATTACATTTAGAACTTCTTTCAGTCCCATCTTCCCATTAAAGCTTCCTTCATTTGTATAAAAAAAAGCATTTGCTTACTATAAGGATTACATAGATTTCCTTCATGCCACGCCTTTTAATGCTTCACTGAAGCTATGTCTTTAATAYGCAAGCTTAAGATGCCTTGGCTCATTAAAACAAAATGAACATCAATTGACATTTGTTGGGTTTTTTTTTCTATGTCGAATTCTTTCGACATCATTGTGAAATATAGGATAAAAAATACATTATCAGTGTTGAACGTTGAAAGATTTAGTTTGTTCCATGTTTTATATTACACAGTGTGTATGTAATTTAACCAGGTTTAAAAACTCTTATGGAACAGAACCAGTTCTGTTTTCCCTAACGGCTCTGGATGGGCTGTGGCAGACCCTGAAGGAGGGTTCGGTTGACCATGGCGGCCTTGCGTGTCATGGAGGTGCAGCGRGTCAAGATCTCTTGGGCCTTAGGTCTCGGAGGAACTCTCGGAGCTCTTGAGGCTGCCTCGTTCTTGTYGGACCTGGCAGGCTCTGTGCTCTCAGATCTGGCGCTGGAGTCTGTGCAGGTGCCGGAGTCGGATTTGGAGTCGGTGCTGGTGTTGGAGCTGCAGCGATCAGAGAGACTGAGGTCGGAGCTGCTGCCTGAACTGGGACTGACTTCAGGCTGGCCTGTGGGGCTCTCTGGCTCAGCTTCAAAATTCAAATCGGAATCRCTGCCGGAGGAAACGCTGGAGAAGATCGAGTTGGTGCCATCTGACGTGGAGGCGTCTCTTTCTGCGTGGGTCTGCAGCCAGGACTCAGAGAGAACATCCAGGGATTGGGCTCTTTGGAAACGAGCTGAGACTCTGGACTCCTGTCTGGAGGGAACCTCATAGTCRTGTTGGGAGTTGTTTTCTTCAACGATTGTTGGTGGCGAAGGAGCCTGAGGTTCTCTGCTGGATGCCAGGTTCAGGGAGGAACTGTGTATCTTCCTGTGCAGGCCATGAAGCCCCGCCCGTGGGTTGTTGTACGGTTGCAGGAACATAGATGGGACATAGCCAACCTTGCCATTGAACCTGAAGAGAAAGATTGCAAGAAAAAGTTTAGCGGTTCAATTTCAGCTTCTAAATATGCAGAAAATGGACAATATGTGGTATTTGTTTTCAAAGACAAAGCAAACAGTTACCTGATSAGCCACCAGCCATCTTCAGACTTCCTCAGCACCTCCACCACAGAACCGATGGATACAGACACCTCATCTACCATCTTTGTGGAGTAATTCTTCACGGCACAGTACAGAGAACCTGACAAGCAAAACAAATCACTTTTAGCAGCACATTTAGGCAGTTCTACAGCTGATAATGGGGTAGTGATGAAAGGTACAACTGGTTTTAAAAGAAGGATCACAAAATGACTGTAATACCTCCCAGGTATTCATCCTCYTCCTCMTCATCATCATCYAGAACCTCYAGGTAGGGAGCAGGAAACCATGCCAGCTTCTTGCTCTCGTTTTCCACGAGCCACCAACCTGAACAAAGAAACACCAGCGAATGAGCATGAAGGTCGACAGAAATMTGCAGCGTCTGTCGAAATGCTGATGCTACAATTCCTCCTTTTTTTTGTGTATTTTGAGGAAAAATTAATTGAATCCCTGACCTGCAGGATCTTTGATCAGGACGTCCAGCTTCTCGTTCATGGCAACCTTAAACGGCTTGTTTTTGGTGTCCTTGGTCTCGTATGGTGCCACGCAGCGGAACGTCTGGGTGACAAACGGGTGGGTGACATTTCCCATGGAATGACGAATGCCACTGTGCCCGTGGTCCCCGCTCGTCAGGTCATCCGCCATCATGATCATGACACTGTGTGATGGAGACAAGACATTATTTAACCCACTCAAGAAGACTGAGCAGTGGGCAGAAGATTTCCTGCTGAAACTGTAAAAAAACCTCACGTGTTCTTGGTGAAGTCCGGCTGCAGGTCGTGGTCTTTGGGAGTGAAAAAGCGCATGACCTCTGAACTCTGCGTCACATTCGGCTCACAGCTGAGAAGTCTGGYACAGTACTTCTCCAGGAGCTTCATTTGTACGACCGACTTTTTGGATCCTTTCTGCTGGAGGCTGCTCCTCCTGGCCTTTCCTGGAACAAGAACCAATTWATCACAGCTGGAAAGAAGGTCCTTTTCCAGGATATCACTTCAGCATTATTTTGATCTTAAAAAGCCGTTTACAATTTGTTTATGACTGTAAACGGCTTTAACATGCTTCCTGGCTATTTGTTGATGAATCAACCAATTAAAATGAAGATACCTGTGAATTTTGGGATCGTTCTGTCAGTTTTGCGAAAAGGATTGAATTTAGGGAACTTCTTTTTCAGTTGCCTCTGTTAAAGAAATAAAAAAAAACAGATTAAGACTTCAAAAACAAATCTGAATAAGCCT